TCCCGAGAGGAGAATGGAGGAGAAGGGATTGCAGCGTGACCATCCCCCTTGGGGGGTGATTTCTCGCTTTCTGTCTCTATGTCTCTCTCTGTCTGTCTGGCGAGCGCACGCACCCTACAGTGAAAATCTCTCCAAAAAAAAAAAAATTATTTATTTATTTATTTAAATTTGACCAGAGAGAGAGATAGAAAGTGAGAACGCAAGCTACAGGTCCAAGACTTGAACTACAGTTGGCCCTGGGGAAGTCTAGTGCCTCAACCACCACGCCACCCACTAGCCTAAAAAAATGGAATTAAAGGGGTGGAACATGGCTTGGTGGTTAGGGGTGCTGGACTCCCACATAAATGACTGCAGTTCGAGTCCTGGACCTGGTGTCTTGCTTTCTCACCCCCCTCCCAACTCTGTTCCTCTGGTCAAATTAAAAATAAATAAATAAATAAAGTTAAATTTAAAAAAATGGAATTGAAAAGATACAGTTAAAGCCCACATTCATGCCTCTAAATCATACTACCCTCAGAAACCATCCAGAAGAAATCACAGCGCGTGGGCAAGTCTTACACCATATATGCATACTACATACATGTTTTACATGTTCTCAAGTTTATATTACAAGTTATACTCTGTAGCATGCGTTTTTTCTCTCGCCTTGTTTTTGAAATGTATCTGTGTTGCTACCTGCAACTCTAGGCCTTCCTTTAAACTGCTGTGTAGCTTTCTGGTACATGATTACACCAGTGTTTCTCTTCTGCTGCTGCCTGATCCGAGGTTGTTTCCAATTTTCCATCTCACAAACAGTACTGCTAAGAACATTGTTATCAGCGGGACTTTCTGGAGTTTCAACACTCCCAGGAGGTGCACTGCTGGCTGTAGGGCATGCTAATCTTCATCATTAGATATTGCCAAATGGTTCTGCGTGGTGGATGTGCCAATTCACTTTCCTACCGCAAAGTCTGCAGCTCCCCAGCCTCATCCACCCGGGGTATTGTTAGATTTTTAAATGCTGGTCAGTACGAGGGTTGTGAAACAGGGCCTGCTTTGTTTTTGGTTTGCATTTCCCTAAATACTGGTGAGAGAAGGTTTATTGGCCACTCGCGTTCCGTGTCGCGCTGCAGTTGGGGGAATCTCACCTTCCCTTACGCGCAAAACCGTGGTCCTGCAGAGTTCTTGGCCAGGGACGCACTTCTCCACCTGGCAGGGCCCGCTGCTCTTACACTGCATGCATAGAAGCCCCCAGGAGACTGGGAGAAGGAGGGAAAGA